CTAATTATATATATATGTGTGTGTGTATGTGTGTGTATGTGTGTGTAGTATAACATGATGTAATAACTAAAAATTGTAAGACTCAAAATCAGCAATTTTCAGTCTTAATACTAGATCTGGACAATTGAATTTGCTTGATTACTCTCACTACTCCCACATGAGAATTGGTAGTAGTTGAAATAATCAAAAACAGTAATAAATTGGAAATTTTTATTTTTATTAGTTGATTATTTTCTTTACATTAACCAATTCAATCATCTTTTCAATAAACTGATTATATGATACTAAACAATTTAATTGATGGTCATAAGTAATAGATTATACTGATTAATTGAGTTAATCACGCAGCCCTACTCATTAGAGTAAAGACTCAAGCCTATTGCAATGCAGTAAACATTTTAGGATTATGCTGATCTTTTTCACTACTAATAATTATACAAATCATATTTTCACATGGTGAGCAGAAAAACTGTTTGAAAAACACTTATTGTAGGGTTTATTATTATTAGTCATACATGTAGTTTTTACTATATGCTAAAATACTTTTAAATCATACCATATATAAGACTAACAGTATACTGCAGAATCAGAATTCACCTAGGCCTACGGAACTTTTTTCCTTTTTGTTTGCATTAATTACAATTAAGTTAAAAGCTAAAGTAACTGCTACTACTAGAAATACTATTTCTAGTAGACCTACCTAGTAATACTATTATAGTATTATGTTACTTAGTAAAGCCATGGCCAAAGTTCAGGCTCCAAGTCTACTGTCTAGATTAGTAGATCTGTTTTTTTTATCCTTTTTTTTTCTTCATTTACACGATCTATTTAAATATGCAGAGTAGGAAAATACGAAAAATTAAATCAAAAGATCTACACTATCGCAGTAGAATCTCCTAGAGCTGAACCTGAATTTTGGATAAGGAATGGTACAAGTTTTAAGTTTACTATGTTTTACTTTTAGTACTAGTAGTAGTATGAGCCTACAGTACAGTACCAAACTGTTCGTTACGTTAAAGTTATGATTACTAGATATTTAGAATACTGGTATTTTTCAACAAGTGTAACTCTTTACAATAATAAAAAAAGGAAGATATGTATAAACAAAATTTAGTAAGAATTTCTACATATTACAATTCTACATTAAACCAAACAATAACCTTACTAGTTCCACCTCGAGAAAATCAAGTGACCTCAACAACCTTATTCTAACCAAAGGACACATGCGCAAAATAATTAAGCCTTAAACAACTCCCTCTCTAAATTATAATATTTTCTCTGTTCATAAAGTATATTATGTTATATAATAAATTTTATATCTCATAAGTGATAAAAAGCAAAGCATTTTATTTACAGTACTATACAAACCATTGAATTTCAAAGCATATAAATGAGATATATCTAATAATATTTACAGTAATTACATTCTCGTATTGAATAATTTACTAATATATAGAAAGCTAACATAGATGATTTCTTGAAAAATGAAACGTAAGTTTATATTTATATTTTTATTAAGGATGGATGTGCAAGGAAACATTGAAAGACCCTTGCTGTCCGTACGTAATTTGTAATGTTACATCAAATTTATCAGGCTGGCGGCAGGGTTGTTTTTCTAGAGATGGAAATTGAAATGGTATTTTAAATATCTCCTCAATAGGTCATCAGAACTTTACAGTACTATACAGTATTTCTTTTTATAACAATATCCATGTAATAACTGAGTCACAAGTTCTGGGAATGTCTGTAAATATCCATAGAAAAAAGTTTGAATTTCTAATCCTTCTTTTTTCTGCTTCTTTTTTATTACATGATAACTCAAAAACTAAAACAATGGTATCAACTAATTTCACTGAGGTAGCATAGTTTCAAACGGAGTATTCGCTTTTATAAGTATTATTAATATCTAGTAGTAATTTAAAAAATAATGACTACAGTGTAAACGATTATAAACAAGATTACGACACTTATGATAAACAACATTGTTTATTGACAAAAAGGGGACATGGATAAACGTTTCGGAATTCTATCAGATTCCATCTTCAGTATCTAAAGCAGAATAAAATGAATTTACATCAGTCTTTATACATTTTCAAAGTACAGTTGCTAAATATAACGATAATTAAACAAATAAAACACTAAACAGTAATCATGGGGAGAAACTACAGCAAGAAAACCCAACGTTTTAGAATTTGATTATAAATACAACCTTCCTATGTCTATTGAAACACTGCATTAAAAAGGCAAGCAAACAAAACCTAAAGTAAGTGTAGGGGTAGCTAATATCAATCCTTCAAAAACAAGGCAAACAAGATAATATGGATGGCATTTGCATCATCCCTATATAATAACACAGGCAAGAATTAACATATAGCAATACATATAACTATTCAATCACAACTGAGTTTACTTTATCCTATTTTTGTCTGTTAACATTCCACTACACTGTGTGCTTGTGCCATTATGCCACACCTACTATCTTGTTTAAATTGTTTTTGAAAGATTGATATTAGCCATCTCTACATTTACTTCCTTCTTTAAAAAGTTTTTTTTTTTGTATTTACTAGTAAATATGGAGAAAATTGCAACAGGGGTTTGAAAAGCAAATGCTTGTTACCGAACAGTCTTTTTATTGCTCAACTGTATGCTAATTGTAATAAAAATACCTAATGATTACATAACTTGGAAAAAAGGCAGATTATACACATTTGTATTAATGTATCTTTATTTGCTTCAATATTTCACTATGATAGCTTCATCAAAGTGACTATACGCTAACCTACCAAATTCGCTAAATTCAGTTGGATTTCCTGGTTACAATACGTTGGAGGCTGTTTTTTTTTTTTTTGTTATGGATTTCACGCAAAGCTACACAAGGGCTATCT